TTTTTATATTCTTCGTATGGCTTATGTGTCTCCCGTTTTTTTTTTTTTTTTTTTTATTATTATTAATGTATATGGAAATTAAGGTATGTATCGTTGCTTGTTATCTGAAGGTCATTATATGTGTTGTTAAGTGGCAAGGAGTTCTGTGTTTATTGCATGATTAAAGATTAAAATTCACTCATTCAACATTCAACATTAACAGAACCGTATTCATGTTGACAAATGTAGAAAGGTATGAATGAGAATGAATACCTTCTCAATACAAGAGATGTATTTGACCGGTTTCGAATATATGTTCGTCAGAAATACATAATTTGTATATATATTTCTGATGATGATCTATTCGAAACCGGTCAAATACATCTCTTGTATTGTGAAGATATTCATTCTCATTCATACCTTTCTACATTTAGATACAGCCCATAGAATAGTCAGTGCACGTCCCTTTGGTCCATATGAACTCAACCCATATCAAATACCCCCTACTAATTTATTCCATGTTAAATGCGGCTGTTAAGCTCTCTGTGTCAATTCCTGCCATCCCATCCCGGCCATTTTGATATCTGCCTGTGATCATTTCAAATTTAAATGCCCTTTAATGAACTTTTCGCTGACTATATGAAGCCAGTAAAATGCATGGCTAATTTTGAATACTGGATGATAACATTTTTCTTCTACGCTGCATGAAAATAATTTATACTTTTATCTTCCTCTTTCTAAGGTTTGTCCATAAAATTGTGATCTTACTCATTATGAACATCAATAACAGTTATCTCGTTATAGATTCGATATATGAAGATATAAATTTGCTATAGATCCGATATAAGGGTCAGATCATTTTAAAAATTGAAATTTCTCAATTAAAACGAGTGATCAGCGAATGCAGATGCACCACGAGATCTTACTCTGTTTACCCTATCCCCCGCGAGAGAGAAAGATTATACGATGTGTCAGCTGAGCAAACACACGGTCAGCTGGCCTTTGTTGTTGTTTTCTCTGCTGTCGTCGCTGTTCCTGTCCTTTCCTCGTGCGTGAGTTTCATTTCCTCTAAGCTGCCCTTTGCCACGTTCAACTCTGCATTATTTTCCTCTCCATTTTTTCTTCTTTTCCCTAAGTGAGGATGCATTTCATTACGAGGACAGCGAGGGAAAAATAGAAAGGGAATAGATGTTTCTGGGTAACCTTTGATGCTGGAAAAGGAATTTGAATCCATTTTGGTGATGAAGTGTTTGCTCATGAAGTTGACTTATACTGTTGACACGCACGCATACATTTATACTATATATAATAAACGCAAGCTTGATGATGATAATGCTAGTGATTATAGTAGTTCTAACGCTAATAATAATAGTAATAACAATGATAATAATGATAATGGTACTGATAATGGTAATAATAGTAATGACACTGATACTGATAATGATAATGAAATATAATAATAATAATAATATAATAATAGTAATAATAATGATAATGATAATGATAATGATGATAATACATAATAGAAATAATTGTTATCATTGTTATTATTATCATTATTATTATTATAATGATAATGATTTTAATAATGATGATAATGATAAGGATAAAGATGAGGATAATGATAATAGTAATGATAATCTCAATAATCAAAATAATAGTAGTAAAATAATAATGATTAGGATAACATTAATAACCATAAGGATTATAGAAATAAAAAATGATCATGATAATTGGGATAATAATGATAATGATATGAATAATGATAATACTAATAATGATAAAAACAATAACAATGATAATGATAATAATGATAATAATAATGATGATGATGATGATAATAATAATGATAATAATAATAATAATAATAATAATAATAATAATAATAATAATGATAATAATAATAATGATAGTGATGATGAATACCTGATAATGATAATCATAATGATAGTAATAAAAGAAGTAATAAAAGGATGATAATTATGATAATGATAATAATGGCAATAAAATGGTATTGATAACGATGGCAGCAATAATTGTAATGATAATAATAACACAAATAGTAATGATAATGATAACAACAATAGTAATGACAATAATAACAATAATATTAATGATAATGATAACAACAATAGTAATGACAATAATAACAATAACAGTAATATTAAATATAATGATATAGTAATGACATAATAAAATAATAATGATAATGATAACAATAAGTAACAGGTATTAGTAATAACAATAACAAATAATGAGAATAATAACAAATAGACAGAATTAGACAGTAAGGTTTATCAATCATCAGTCCAAGGAACCTGATATTCGAAAGAAACATTTTTCATCTGATTCGTTATTGGTCAGCAGGTGTGCAAAAGGTCAGCGCGTATGCCTGCCTTAGCCTCTTTCTCTGTCTCTCGCTCTATCTATCTATCTATCCGTTTGTCTTTCTGTATATCTCTCTCTCTATGGGTCTGTCTTTGATACCGCCCATCTATTGTCTATATTTATCTTTTTATAT